TACTCTTTCTACTTCTTAGCTATAATTATTCTAATTTTCTTTAGTTGCCTTGTAGTATTGGTAAAGTCTTCTCATTTCTTTTAGTTCTTTTTTCTTTTTTATCTTTTTCTTTTTAAAAAACTCAAACTATCTAGTTTAACTCAGATTAGTTTGTGATCACTATTTGTAATTGTCTCTATTTCATCTATATTGCTATCTTAAATAAAGCTTTTTATATCTTGCATTATCTATATGTGATCTATTCCAGTTGATGCTTTACTATTTAACTATGAATACTTAGATAGTTCTAGGTTACAAAAATAGAAAACTTCTATATGGTCAGTATTTTTGAGCTAGTTCATGATTTTTGTTTTACAATCTGCATTTCTCTTTTCTTCTCTGCTTATATCTAGTTTTTTATTTAGTTCCATCTGTTAGAGAATATTAAAGTAGGACTTATTCAAATAAGATCTAGATCTATAATAGTAAAGTTTGCAACTAATATCACCTTGAGTGACTTCTAAAATAAAGTAGCATAAGGTTAGAGTTAACTATAAGAGTAATATTTGTAGTAAGTGAGATAGGACTAGAGAGTTTAAATAGATAATCTTCTAAGAGATTTTAGATATAGTAGCTAGTGTAGAACTTTCAAGCAGACTACCTAAAATAGACAACCTAAAATTGTATATATAGCTAGTTGTATTCTTATAATATGTATCACTTCTAAAATTTATGAAATTAATAAAGTTAGCTGATAGCATTTGTATAAAGTAAAAAAAAAAATCAATATAAAGATATTTATTAATATTTTTTTTCTAAAACCAAAAACTTTATCTTCAATTACTCTTATTCTTCAAGTTGAATTAATCAAATTTAAACAAATTTGTCTACTTTTATTATAATTATATAGATATTATTTCTGATAATATACTTAATTCTGATTATAATACTATAATACTTGAAATTTCAATAATTATCAATAAACCAAAACCCTCTAAACAACAAAAAAGAAAATATTTTTTATAGAAAAATTGTTTAAAAAAATATTTAAAAACTATTTTAATTAAACAATACAAAGTTTTTAACAAATAGCTTCTCAAATTTTTTTGAAACTTAGGCAATCTTGCCTTTTCTTTATTAGAAGAAAACATATAATAATATTATAACAAAAAATATAAACTTTGCAAAGCTAGCTAAATAATTGTTCTTTCTATGCAAGTTCAAACTCATTTAGCTACTATAATGGTACTCAGATGCAATCTAACTATAATAGCTAATTTTCTTTCTAAAAGAATAGCCTGCTTAAACAAGATCATGTTCAATCAATCAACAGAAGGTTACTATATACCATTTTTATCAAGATTGCTTCATTCTCTAATCTTCTTTTCCTAGCTTTCTAAGTTGAAGAAATTAAGTTTTAATTGACTAATGAAAAAACAAATATCAAGAAAAATAAAGAGAAAAGTAATAAAAGGTAGGAATAACTACTGTCTATATGAAAAAAAAGTATCAAAAGAAAATGAAAGTAGGAAAAAAAAGTAAAAAAAAAAATAATTAAGATAGAACACATTATTATAGCCTGTGCTAAGGCATAAAAATTAAAAATTATTTATAGTACTAATACATATACCATAAATTTTATGTATAATTTCTTATTAGCTATTATTTTATTTACTAAGCAGATCTGTATTAGCTTCATATATATTAATCAACTTGTAAATAATCAAGATGTGACTTGTCCAAAATAGAATATAGTACAAGTGTAAATTTATTGTTAGGAGTGAGCTAGAATCTCTACTTTTTTATTAAAAAAATGAAAAAAAACTATGGTCATCATATCAGTATTGTTGGTCAAAGGATATAGGAGATTGTTTGCAAAAACAAGTTACAGAGTGAGAGAGTGTTGAAGTGATTGTCTCAGTACAAGATATTGTTTATTATTTCTTCTCCTTGTTTTATCTTTTTTTTCTTTTTAAAATATCATAATGTAAACTTTCAGCTAAAATAATAGTATTATCACCTGCTAGATTTTTTTGTCTCTTATATAAAGTTACTGAGCTATACAACTCATATTTCTATTTAATAGCTACTATTTTTCTGAGTTTCTTAGAATTAAAGGTTATTTTGTATTTAAAAAATTTTGTTTTATAATAGTTTAGGTAATCAGTGAAAAGAGTTGAATAGCTTCTTAAATTAATATTATAAAAAACTAAAACTAACTTAATATTATTTGAAAAAATTTTATAAAGCTTTAACTAAAATAGTTATCAAATTTTTTTTTAAAAAAATACAAACTATTAAAGAAGTTTATAATATTTCTTCTACTAAACAACTACCTTTTTTTTATAAATATAAACAAATTCAATATCTTAAAAATTACTTATTATTTTTAAATTTTTTAATATTTCTTTATAATTACAAAACTGAATATTTAGATAATTCAATCTTAACAAACTCTTTTTATCTAATTAAATCAAAAATAAATTTTAACTCATTAAAACTACTCTTAACTATCAACAAAAATAAGCTATTTACAAAAAAATCTAATAAAATATTGAAAACTAAAACAAGTTTTTACTATAACTCCTAAACTTTTCTACAAAAAAATCTTAAAAAAATATAATAATATTAGTATTGATAGACTTTTACTTAATAATATACTCTTTACTATTCAATATAAAATTTTAAATACAATTCATTATTATTTTTTAAACTATTTTAAAAAAAATTCTTACAATCTATTTTACTCATATCAGAATTCTTTTAATTTACTAACTTATCCTGAACTTAAAATATACTATTAAAATCTCTTTAAAGATATCTCAGATCAAGAATAGAATAAAATCATTACTAATTTATTAATTAAAAAAAACTAAACCTTCTGAATTCTGCTATAAACATATTAAATATGCTAACTATAAAGTATAAAAATCTCTTAAACTTTTTGTTAACAAATATTTTCAATTCTAAAAGGTTCTAACTAAATAGAAGTTTTCAAATATTTTTTTGATCCTAAAAAAATCTAATTAAAACTTTACTTTTGATTAAATTTGACCTATTTCAATTATTAAACTATTCAAAAAAACTTCTACTAAAATCTTTACTAAATGATTAGATAAAATAATCATATTTAATAATTTTCTCTTCAATCTAAACTTTGCTACTTTTAAAAATTCCTTTACATATACATCAATTTAAATTTTTTACAATATAATTAAACATTATATTATAAAACAAAGAAACTTGAATATTTTTTCAAGATATGTCTAAAGCTTTTAATAAAATCAATATTTTTTAGCTTTAAAATACATATAAAAAAATTAGTATCTCTAAAAAAAATATCAACTTTATTACAGAGCTACATACTTCTTATCTAACAAAAATTATCATATCTAATAATCTCACTGCTCCTATTCATATTAATTCTGGTATTAAACAAAAAGAAACCTATTCTTCACTATTATAGAAAATTTATTATAATCCTATTCTTACTTTTATTTTATAAAAATATCAAAATCAACTCCAAAAAATTTCAACACAATCACCTCTTGATACTATCTCAAATTCTTTCACATCTCCTATAACAATTCCACTACTAGTATACATGAATGATACTGTATAGCATTGTGAAAACTTAGAACCTATGCAAAATATCCTTAATAATACCTTACAGTTATATGATCTCAATAATATAACAATTAATTCTTCTAAATTTGATCTCTTATAATTAAACTGCTCTTAGAAAAAGGCTGACATATTAAAAAGCGAGAATTAACTCGTACATAACGAATAAGTAAATAACAGATAAGGGTTTAATTCTTTATCTACCAGTGTATATGAAAAAATAAACCAATACTCGCTTACTTTAAGACTTATACGTATATATTTTTATCATGCGATACAAAGTAACAATTCATTTTTCAATGAGCCAACGTTCATTTTATTATTTGCTTTTAATTTATTGATCTTCTTTTCTCATCATTTCAATTCTCGTGTTTAATCTTTGTGGTCTGCTTTTCCATCCTGCCAGTCTTCTAAATCTCAACCTATCGATCTCTGCTCTGTTATTATAATGCTCCAATTCAGATTTATTAGGTTTCGGTGGATAAGCGAAATCTTCTGCTAATGTAACGATTGCTTTTTTATATTTCGATGTAAATTTACCTCTCAAACTACCATCAGATTTCTTAACTGGATGTTTTGCTCCATAATTCATCGTACGCACATCAACGACTTTAAGTTTATATATGTGAAATAAATAATCACGAATATCAAACTTGTTAATATTAGGCGGAACACGAAATACCACTTGATTTGGTGGTAGAGTTGGTGTGCGCATGAGACGAAAAATTATATTTGGGAGATAAATTTTTTTAAGTCCAACACTAAAAGAGGACATTTTCGCGTTAGAGCTGAATTTAGATCTAATTTCCAAATATTAAAATTTGACAATTATCTGTCCAATCAATTTACTCAAGATTATCATCTAATTTATCCAAATCACAGAATCTAAAATTTATAAAATGTCGTCTCCGTATAAGAAAATATCGTTAAAGAAGTTCGCTGTACCTACTGAGAAAGGCACAGAAGAGTCAAGATTTTGGAGAAGATTCAAGGTAAAATTTATTTCCCTCAGAAAAAACCTAATTAGCTTTAGATGGTGTCTTGCAATAACTGATCTAATACTTGTCCATGTATAGAAGTTGGTTTCAAATTTGAAAAATTTAAATTTCAATATTTAATTTCGAATTTAGGCTTGAATTTAAATATGAACTTTTGAATTTTTCAAATTTTAAGTCCATAATCTAGGAAAATTAAAGTATAAAACTTTAAATTATTTTACATCTAGCAATACCTTATATTAAAATTCTTAAGTCTACTTTATTTCTCTAGCCACGTTGTTCGCTTTCCGAGATTGCATCAATAACTTCCATCAAGTTCAGTCCTATACAACCATTTGATTTCGCTGTAACATCGTCTACACGTGTTCAAATCTACTCAACACAAACCTATAAAGTAAAAAAAACCATATCAAGATTCAATGATATCGCCTATTGTGGATCCATTCGAAATGATGCAAAACTGCTTGTGGCTGGTGATGCCACGGGATTAATCCAAGTATATCATCAATCTATGTGCAATATAAAATGGTCAAAGTGTTTATATTATTATTCATTAGGTTTTCGATATCAATAGCCGGGCAATATTAAGAACGATGCATGGTCATAATCTGTGAGTGCTGGATTCGCGTAATCATCCTTCTAATACTATTACTATTTATTTATGATTAAAAAATTTTATATATAGAACCTTTTCAGATTATTGATCCGATCATTCTTTATTTTCGTCTTTTAGTCCCGTACATATTACCAGATTTTCCCCCGGAAACACTCAAATTCTTTCTTGTTCCGACGATAAAACTGCCCGTATTTGGGATGTTCCTGGGCAAGAAGCAATATCAAATTTAAAAGAACATCAGGTTTTTTATAATTCCTTTGTGATCGTAACGTTATTTTGTATTATCATAATTATCATATAAATTTCATGTTCTTATTAACATATAGGATTATGTGCGTGCTGGCTTAATAAGTAACGATAACCCTCATTTGGTTCTAACTGGTTCATATGACCAGTCAATCAAGCTCTGGGATTTACGCACCAATTCCTGTACAATGTCAATGTCACATGGTGCTCCCGTCGAGGATGTCTTGATATTTCCCGGTGGTGGAATGATAATTTCAGCTGGTACGCAATTATGTTAGTTTTATATCACTTTTATTATCATTTATATGACTTTCATCCTTCCTTAAAGGAGGGCCAACCATAACCGTATGGGATCTTATTTCTGGTGGTCGTGTTGTACGATCTGTATCCAACCATCAGAAAACCATTACGTCAATGTGCTTTGACGGATCTTCTTCGCGTCTTCTCACTGGATCCTTGGATCATCATGTTAAAATCTATGATGTTCAGAATTACGATGTCGTCCATAGTTTCAAATATAATTCTCCAATATTGTGTATCGCCTTGTCGGTATGTATTTTTTTTTTTTTTTTTTTTTCTAATTGTTTTCACTACAAGGTCTGATTCAATTTTTCCCAAAACCATTTACAGCCTGACGACACCAACATCGTTGTCGGAATGACATGCGGTACTTTATCTATACGCCATCGAAAATCATCGCAAGAAGAACTCTCTGTGTCCCACCCAAATAAGCAGCCAAGAGTCGGTTCCTATAAATACTTTACACGTGGTCAAACATATGATGGTAAACAGGTTGGAAAAAACATAATAATAATAAAATTCTGATAACGTTCGGTTGATCTATTTTTTTAATATACTATTTAAACTATAGGATGATTTTGTAGTAGAATCTAAACCAAGAGAACATCTTGCATTATATGATCATTACTTGAAAAAGTTTCAATACTCAAATGCACTGGATGCTGTATTAAGAAACGTAAATTGCAATGTATTATTATTATTATTATTTTAAAAATCATGAACTCACATTTAATTCCATATAATCCAGGGAACTCGAGCAATTTTAACTATTTCGTTGCTACAAGAGCTTATATATCGGGATGCTCTACGACAAGCAATTGTCGGACGCGATGATGTCTCTTTAGAACCTTTAGTCAAGTTTCTGTTAAGATGGATAAATGAGCCAAAATATACTAGCATATTAATTGATGTAGGAAATGTTATAATTGGTAAAGATAATTTCCATAATACTTATTTAGGGGTGAGTCAATAGAAACGCACCAAATTTTTTCTAAGTAAATTTTTTTGAAACTTTTAAACAAAAAAACTTAACAAATTTAATAAAAAAATTTTTAAATTAATTCTCAAATAGAATTTATTTTAAAAAAATCTTTATTAAATTTTTGTAAATAATTCTTGTTTAGAAAAGTTTTGACGCGTTTCTATTGACTCACCTCATTTATTTACAAATACATAGCTAATAAATTTTATTATTGATTTATAGATGTATATTCCTCTGTGATTTGGAAATCTCCGTTGATCAAAAAGTTGATGGTCAGTTTACATACTAAAGTGAAAATGGAGATTAATTTACAAAAAGAAATTGCAAAAGTTATTGGTTCTTTGGAAATGGTTGCCAAAGGGTCAATGTCAACTGCTACCACCAATTATACTTAGTATTCTAACTATTACTTTATCTTAGTGCTTGATTGGCTTTTGTCTCAGTAGAATAAAATAATAATAAATTCAATCATTTAAAATATTTAATTCCTAAATCACCAATCGTTATTGTGCAAATTTTTATTGTGACCCCTGATGATTATCCATTATACTTTTTATTAATAAATCTAAATAATGTCAAGAAATAAAATTTTCAACGATTTTCGGTTATATTTCGATTCTGCAGTATTATCTCTAGTGAATACTAATACTAATAGTTAGTTTTGCAAAAATATTATCAAAATTCCCATTAACAAAAAAAAAATGAAGCAGGAATTTTGGTATTATTTTTGCAAAACTAACTAATAGTATTAGTATACCGCTAGAGATAAAAATGAATCGAAAAGCAATTTTTAGATACTGACAAAGTTATTAAAATGTTGCCAGTATCTAGAGTTTGTACCCGGGTCGGGTATTACCTGGGTTACCCGCGGGTAATCGGATATCCGGGTAGTTATAACCGGGTAATACCCGAGTAGAAATAACCAGATATAACTGGATAATACTCGGGTAGATATAACCAGATAATACCCGGGTAGATATAACCAGATAATACCCGGGGTCATCATGGTCATTGGGTAACATTTGATTTGCATAACACTAATAAGTAACGGTAATCGATTATTGTTATGGTAGAAATGTGCCAAATACTTGTTTGCGGACTTGAACTATTAACGTTAACATTCTTATTTTTAGTATTATATTATATATATCCAAATTACGGTTAAACTGGTAATTGTAGGAAGAGGTTGTTGGATTACGCGCAACCGTTGTAACCCTAGGTTGTGATAATTGTGCATGGGCATGCACAACGGTTGTTTCCACAAATTGAAAAAAAACGTTATTTAGTAAGGGTGGGAGGAGCAGTAGCTATTAGTAAATGAATAATGTATTTAAAGGGTTTCTTTTTGACTTTAATAAAAGGGACAGACTTCTATGTAGAACTAAGAGTTTGGATCCTTTATTATAATAATGATTTGATTTCAATTATCATTGATATTCGAGTCCTCTTGACTAGTGATGGGACCCAAATACTTTCGGCACTGATTGGGACTTACGGCAGTTTTCGGTCGGGATTTGGGCTTTTGCCGAATCCCAAATACAATCCCAAATCCCAAATATAATCCCAAATCCCAAATATAATCCCAAATCCCAAATATAATCCCAAATCCCAAATATAATCCCAAATCCCAAATATA